TGTGTGTGTGTGTGTGATTTATTTGAAAATATTTTGAAATACCAATATAAGGCAGACTTTGTAATAATTCTTGTATTAGTCCTCAAGAATGTATACAAAGTGTTTTTGAAAATATTTGTTTGAACTTGTAGTGTGAAAATGTATTGGCATGTAAAATAAGGGCTAGTAAAATAAAAAACACAAATGCATGGGGTGGGAGTTCAACCCGCGCCCTAGAGGTCATAGGTGAGGGATTTGTCCATCAGACTATTGTCTTGTTTGCGTTTGGAGATGGCTACCAATCAATATATTATGAGCTTGCACGTGGATCCTGGAAAACAAAAGAAATTGACAAAAGCTGGGATCGAACCCACGCCCTTTTCAATACTATACAACGCCCTTACCAATTGTGCCTTTGTTGTTTCTTGTTATTCAATCACAAATAAATCATTATATAATAAAAAAGCGTTAAAAAATTGAATTTCAAACGCAAGTCAACTATGAGGCCCTGTAAATTTGAATCAACCAATGAACACGTGTCATGCCTAGGTTGAATAACCAGTGGACCGGAGAGACGCCGAAGCCCTAGCTCTGGTCATCTTCTCCGACGATCAAATTTCCAAAACCTGTGAAAATGGAAAAATCAAAAGGAAAAAAGGTTACAGTCCACCTAATTCGACCATTGCGAGTTCAATGGTGATCTTCTTTTTGGCTAATTCAACTTGTACAATGAGATACGATCAAAATAAAACAACACAGTGCAATAATGGTAACTGGGTATTCTGGCATCATGGGTCTCATATAAGGGATATAACCTGTGCTATTTTACCTCAGGAATACATTGAAACTGTTAGTTTGAAATAAAGCATTGTAAACATTAAAATACAAATTTCAAAATATATGCATGACTAGTGACGTTTTGAATGCATGTTTTAAATACATTTGATCATCAAGAATGTCTGGAAATTACCCTATAATACCTCAGGGATTGATTTGAGCAGTTATCTAGTCTTGAGGATGGCTGAAAACTGAAATTTGAATTTACTCCTTATCTTGCGAATTTTCAATCTCAAACCCTTGTTTCTTGAGTAGCCTCATGCATTTTTTTTGTCTGAAAATGTTATGTATTTATAGGAGAGAAGATTAGGTCAAATGGTGGACTTGGACATCTCATGAAATCATATCTTTAATTTTGTTTGAAATTAAGTTGAAATCTTCCAAAACCAATGAAGATTTGTTTCAAATATAGACCACACGATTTCTTCAGCTTCAACGTAGATTTTTTGGCCTCCAACATGATTAAAAACAAAAGCCACACGCCTTGGTTCAATATCTTGACAATTTATTTGATTTATTTTAAAGTGTGTGAATAAAATTAAAATAAATAAAATAAAAAATCAAGAAAATGCATGGATGGACTTAGAGGTCTTCTAACATGTTATAAACATGTTTAAACTTCAAAAGTTAGGCCCATTAGCCCAAAAATTCAAGTTTGCTCAATTTGAACTTCATGCATTTTCTCAAAATTGCTCAACTTGCATAAATCATAACTTTCTCAATTTTTATCATACGAAGATGATCTAGGACTTTTTGGAAACCTCAAGATGTTTCCTAAAAGTTTCATGTTGGACATTGTTTCATTTGAAGTCTCTAACTTGATGTAAATTGCTTTGACAAAGATGTCTTTTTGTAGACTTTCAAAATGACCTGTAATATTTTGGCTCATATCTCTCAAATGAAGCATTTTTTGGCCTTGAGCTTAGAGATACAAAGTTGTAGAGAATTGAATTTATGTCAAAATGAGCTTTGGTTGAGGATTTCTAATAAATTATGAAAAAGTTATGCTTGGTCAAAGTTCAGTTGACTTCTCCTAAAGAAATGGTCAAAAACCCTAATTTAGTAACTTTTGACTTTGGATGAATCTTAAGTTTTCTTGATGACTCATGATCAAACCTTGATCAAATGATGAATGTGACTAAAAAATGTTGATTTTGACCAAAAATCTTGAAGTTTGACTGTAAATTGGTCAAAGTTGACTTTTTGTCCAATATAGTTGATTTTCAATCATCTAACTAATTGACTGAGCAAATTTAAACTTGTGATATAAGGCTTGAAATTTTGTATGATGGTACCTTGAGACATATGAGAAACCATGAAGTCCATTTTAGGAATTAGAAACTCAATTTCCTTTGAGAGAGGAAAAACCCTAGTTGTAGGTCAATTGCTTAGGAGGGGTGCTTGTATGCTCAAACCTTGAGTATTCTTGAGCAATTGAGAACCCTAGGAGCATGAGCAGACCTATTAAAATAATTTGTCTTGAAAATAGGAGGGAAAATTTTGGGGTACAACAATATGTATATTTATTACTGATGGTGTTGTATGAAGCTTTCTTTACAAATCAATATTGGTGATTGATTATTTTATTTGGGTTTGGGTTGCTGCAGACATGTATGATTTGAATCTAGATTTATGATGAACATATATTGGGTTTTTATTTTAGAAATAGATTAAGATTAGTATTCACGTGAGTATCGGCTCTTAATGCATCTGTGTTGTTTAAGTTGTGTGTGGAATCGCCTCCGAGAGCAATACAATTGATATCTCACTTTGCGTTAGACATAACCTTTGTGTGAGTGATACGTGATGATGTTGACAAGTAGTTTAGGTTGATTGCAACTGAATAGTAAGTTTAAGTATTTAAAAGGTATGTGAAATTCAATCCCGAGAGTTCTATCATTTCTGTATAATGAATTCTTTTCATGTTCATAACTTTAATTCCCATATTTACCGTTTTAAACCCATTCAAAATTAAGCTCATAAACGTGAGACTTGCCGAACATAAATTTAATAACGACTAATACATGAGAAGACGATAAGATAAAACTAAATAAATACTTACTTTTTGTTGTCGCTTTACCTCTTCAATAGTAACTTGTAGATCACCGTCGTCGACATCATCAGCCAACTCCAAGTTTTCTTCATATAGCTTATTCAAGTATGAAAATTTGGCATGAGCACCTTAGGTTATCTCACACTTCCTCAGGGAACCCATTAGATCAACTCCCAAATAGATGATCATCATCTCCTGTGCTCCATCACGTTTGATCCTAGAATAATTAAGTAACTCCCCCCTAATGGGAAGTGTATAAGGCAGGCGACGTCATCTAGTGTAATCGTCACCTCGCCAATGGGGAAATTGAAATATGATATTTATTTATGCCATCTCTCTGGAAAAGCCTCTTGCATGACATGGCTAATGGTCTCTTGTATCCAGAAGAACACAAGTCGGCAAGACCAGAGTAATGAATGACACTTTGGAACCAATCATCCTTAGGCTGATAAAGCTGCAAAATCTTTCTGATGTGGTTAACAGACATCAAAAAATTGCGCTCATGTTAAAAAATATAACTATATCAGTCTCAGGTAATTTGTTTAAAACATATAAATAACAACCATTAACAAATGTACCTCTTCGCCCCAGACATGCCCAACAACATGATATATACAGTATATCATTAAGGAGGTGTCAGAGGGCTCTCCTGGATAAGGGTGTGCAAGTAGAGGGACACCATCATGTGCAGTAGAAGCTTCCTCATGGTCTTTGAGAGTAGGGGAGACGTGCCCCTGGGATGTGGACCCCTATGATAGGAAGCTCCTAGAAGTTAATGCTTCCCCTTCAAGAGGAATAGGGATGATTTTCCGCCTAGTTATGGCCTGCTCATTCTAAAGTCTAGTCATCTCATGTCGAGTCTCATTCTATCGTCGTTGTTTGTAGCTATTTTCCTGAAAAAACAAGAAAAAGACATTAGTTTTCTTCCAGGATATTTTTGGATATGCATCTCCGAAAACTAGTAAGGACAGTAGAGATGCATCTCTGAAAAAGCTAGTGTTTGCAACAATGGTATAAACGGATACCAGACTTGCCTTAACAACCCAAAATGCAACTAAATAATATTGCATGTCTCTAACAACTACCTATTTCCATTGTGACTACTACCTAATGTATTTAAAACAAACTATTTTACCTAATATATTAATCAAAACTAAAAAAAAAATTAAATGAGAAACCTACTCAAAATAGTGTTGATGAGGATGAAAAATGTTGAATATAGTCGGTGGAGTGAGTTGAGATTGAAAATATTGAAGTAGAGGTAGTGTTGTTCTCTGATAAATAGATTGGAAGAATATTGCTCACGAGCTCCAATGGATCTAAAAAGTTTCAGAAAATGAAGAAGGAGAAAAGGTGGAGATGTGTGCTCGATATATATAACGCGTTTGGAGATGCATCTCCGAAAAAACACTTAAATTTAAAAACAAGAGTTCATCCGATGATACATCCACGGATAAACTCTAAAACGCATACCAAGATATATTTCTGAATTAAATTTTAATAAAATGAAAAATGATCAATCATTTACGTTTATTTTATGTGAAAATAGTACGTTCGAAGATGCGCTACGAAAATTGAAAGTATTTTTTACTTTTCGAAAGGAGATAGGGAGAACTTATATAAATGAAAAACTTTCATAGTTAAATAGTACAATCCAACAAACAATAGAGTATAATCAATCCCTATATTGAGTTTGGAGAATAAATTGTAGTTTGGAGACTAAATTGAATTTTTTTTACCAAATACACTCCCTACCAATCACAAATTAAAAAAAAAATGAACAATAAATTTATTTGAAATGGGTTAGTTTTACTTATTTTTTTCTATAATTATTATTATCATAAAAATATATATTTATATTTTTTAATGATAATTCAAGGTGTTATTTAATTTTTTAAACCAAAGTGTCATCAGATAATGGTGAAAATAAAATTAATATATTTAATTCAATTTTAATTATATAAATCAATATAAATTATAATTTTACAGCAATAAAACTCAAACACTGCTCCTACATTAAATAAAAAAAGAATCAAACCTTGTCCCAATATTAGGACCTTATTTTCATGTAACAAAGATCAGAAACAGAACATACATTCACCATCAAGTTGTGCTACAAATTCAACAATTTTCAAGGCTTCATCAAGAAACTATTATTTCGAATGCCTGACGTAGCTCTCATTTTCTTTTTAGAAATCTGAATAAAATCATCAAACTGCTTCCTCTGGTGATTTTCTTTATCACTGTTGTCACCAATGTTAACCTCATAATCCGCTGCTGCTGGTGCAGCGTTGTTACTCTGCTCCCTATAACTGTTGGACTTGGACATTGTAACGGTTCTGATTTTATACTTAGCACTTCGAATGAAATTGTTGAATGTTTCATCACTATCAAGTGGTGTCTCTATCTTGTGTTTCCCTATATATTCATCATCTCTTAATGTCGTCGAACCTTTGATTCTATGCCCTTGTTCTGTTGGAAAACTCATCTTGTTTTGTTTTGGAACATGTTGTTCAATTGAAGAAACCTTTGTTGTCTTGGCATGTACTTTTGAGTTTGATGAGTTTTTGTTCCCCATAGCTTGGTTTTGTTAAGATGAAGAGTTTGGTTTTTCAAACAAGTTTGAGCTATGAAGATATTGGGATTAAGTGCAATTTATAAGAGGTGCAATAAGCTTCTTTTATAGTGTATTTGAAGATGCTATATTGGGTTAATTAATGAGATAATAACTTTTCTAAATTAATTAATTAACAAGAATATATAACTATTAAAATTGGATGGCTTTTTAATTGCCAAATTTGACGGCTTAATAAGAGATGAATGTTTTGAAAGGAACAGGTAGATAGAATCAGATTCTATAAAGACTTGAAGAAATATACAAACATCATTTTTTACAACTTGCAATTTACAATCACATCACATCATATACTAGTTTCCTACGTAGGAGCTGTGAAACATGCTTCCATGTTTTTTAATTATGGGAATGTCGTGTTAGTCTTTCTGGTGGAATACAACTCTCGGTTCTTAGAAATTGTGTATATATAAAGTACACCTTTGTAAGTGGTGACAGAATGTATGTGGCACACACCATAACAAAAAAGAAAAATTCATATGCAGCTTCTAGATGTTTGTGCTAGAATTTTTGTTGGGCATTGCTAATTTGAATTCACAGGTTTTAAAATATAAAACTTAAAATTTGTTATGGAATAATAAACTTTTTTTATTTTTAAAAAGTTAAATGCATTTTTGATGAGTTAGACAGAAAAATAGTTGTTAAACTATCATTTTGACTGAAGAATTTTGTGTTATAATAATTAAATTTTATTTAGATTTTTTTTATAAGCAAAGTTAGATACTCTAAACCTATTACAACAATCTACAACATATAATCTTCACATCTTTGGACATTTGAAAAAAATCTTAGGACATTTGTACCAAATCATAAAAACTACATTTTTGTCTACTCTTGGATCCTATTACAAGCTATAGCCAAGACACCATCTTAAATTTTAATGTTGAATTCTATGCAACCTACGTGACATACTGCTTCAGGAAAGATACCCTCATTTCTCCTAATCTAGATACACCAGCACACTGCCAACCAGACCACCCCTCTTTATTTTTGGCTACCTCTCTTTGAAGTTGTTTGACAACCTTCATGAAGTGAAGGTGGTTGCTATCTTCTATTCAGATTGTAATCCCTCGTCTTAAAGTAGAATGTTGCTCGACATAACAAGGGTGTGTCGAATTAATCTAATTATTTATCGAGTTGTATAGTATATGTCGAAGTGTTAAAGCAGTTTACTTCATACAGTATTTCGACTTAGGTCTAAAATATTTATTTTGGACTTTTATAATTTTGGACTTTGACTTAAGAAGCAAGCAAGCAAGCTCAACTATAAATAGGGTTTAACCCCTATATTGTAAACATAGAGTATTCACATAATTTGCAGTTGCAAGTGAATAAGATTTTTCACAATTTATGGGAAGAGAGAAACTCTACTGAAAATCATCATCATCTTCCCCAATTTCGTCAAACCTTAATTCTTTCTTTCATTGTTATTGTGTATTGATAATAATCTTGTTTATCAAGATTGATAGAAATTCTGCATAGCTATTGGTGGATGTCCAACATCTAGTATTAGGAGCTCCAGTTGAACGATTCAAGACAAGAAAATCATGATGACAATGAATCATCTGAATGAACATTTTCCAATAAGTCTTTCAATTCTGAAAGTTGATAACTATGAGAATTGGTGCAAGAAGATGAAGGTTGTGTTCTGTTGTCAAGATCTTTGCGATCTTGTGAAAGAATGGTTAGAACCGCTTGAAGAAAATGCAACAGAAGAAGAGGTTGCACACAAAGAATTGAAGAAGAAGAATTATAAAGCTATCTTTATAATTCATCAATGTGTGAGTCCCAATAATTTCGAAATAGTGAATGATATAGAATATGTGAAAGAAGCTTGAGAAATCTCGGAAAAGTCTTCTAGAGGTGCAGAAAAGGTGAAAGAGGTGAGGTAACAAACTCACAAAAGAATGTATGAATTGCTTCAGTTGGAAGAAAGTGACAGCATAATAGATTTCTTCACTAGGGTTATGAAACTAGTGAATCAAATCAAAGTATGTGGAGAAACATTAACAACACGATCAGTTGTTGCAAAGATCTTGAGATCTTTGGCTCTGAAGTTCGACCACGTGGTGGTAGCCATAAAAGACTCGAAAGATTTATCGAAATTGATAAAGGAATATCTTTAAGGAACGCTTGAATCTCATGAACAAAGAATGACTGAAAAAGTTGCATGCAAGTTAAAAAGTGACGTGGCTTTGTAAGAACAATCAACAAAAGAAAAGAAAGCCAAAGGAAAGTTATTTGACAACAGAGGTAGAGGAATCTACAATAATTCGACAGGTAGAGTAAACCAGTGGGAAGGAATTGTGTCGAATCAGAGAAGACCCTATACTAAGGCAACCAAAGAGGTGGTGTTGGAGGTAGAGGAAGAGGTGATAGTCGAAAACCTGACAAGAGTCACATTTAGTGTTTCAGTTGTCAGAAGTATGTTCACAATTCTAGTTATTATCCAGAAAAACAAAAGAATCAAGAAAGTGATGCAAAGTTTATAAAACATGAAGAATAAAAAGAAGAGATGATGTTGATGGTCACTGCAAGAGACGAAGAGAGATTCAAGGACCAATGGTACTTGGATTCAGGATGCTCATTACACATGTCTGGGAGGAAAGATTGATTTGTCAACATAAAACCCTCAATAAAGAACATGGTGAAACGAACTGAGGGAAGGGTTTGGAGCAAGGTTTATGTTGGTGGTATGAGGATTTGAGGCTTTTTAGTTAGGGTTGGAACTTGGATGGGGTTTGATTATGTGGCGATGATCCGGTCGATTGGGTGAGAGTCTGGTCGTTTTGATGGTGTATTTGGAAAGAGAATGAAAAGTTATGGGATTGTGTTTGGTGTTTTTTGTTTTGAGGATGAGCTCGCCTAGAAAATGGTGGCGCACCTCCGCTCACCACCTCTCTCCGGAGGGTTGAGTGGGGAAGATGTTGTTTGTAGAGCGTGAGAGAGAGTAGAAATGAAAGAGAGTGAGGAGATAGAAGGAAAAAATAAAATGAAGGTTTTCTGTTTGAGTTAGCATTTTATAGCCTCCCTTCCATCTGTAGGATGCCTGCAAGTGGCTTTATCCTACACACCCAGATCAGTTGACTTCGTTAGTCAACTAGGAGATCAATTGGATGCTCTCACACCTTATCTTTGTGTGCCAACAACTCTTTACCTCTTGATGTCTTTGACTCGGCCTAATATCCTAATCAAATAACTAGTATTGAGTCAAGAGATTTGACTCTAGTTTAGGCTTTAAACCATCTGGGCCTATGTCCATTTTTTTAATCTCTTTATTTTTATTGCTTACAACACCCTCGTGTTAGGCCTTTGTTTTTTTGCTAGCCCATTTTTGTTTCTTTTATTTATTTTTTTAGTTTACTTGTTTTTATTTTATTTTAATTAGTATCTTAGTCCTTATAAACTTTTATTTGGTATTTATTTCTAGTTTGTTTTTATTTTATTTTAGTCATTTTACTATTTTTTGGTATTTAGATTAATCTTTAGATTTATTTTCTCTTAGATTAAATCAAGAATAAGAATTAAAATGAACCTTTGTTACACAAAAATAAAATGTTTAATCTAACGTCAAGCCTTTTCCTGAATAATTTTAATCGAATGCGACATAAATGCTTGATCCAACGTCAAATATCTTTTCTCCGTTAATTCAAATAATTTCAAAATCAATTAAACACTTGATCTAACGACAAATTGTTTTACGCATAAAAAATCTTTTTCTCAAGAAAATCAAAAGACAAAGGACAATTGGATGCACATCCTTTTGAAACCTTAATAGTCCAGCGCAAGGTGAACACTTTGTTCAAAATGGATATTGGTCTTTCAACCTAAAATACTTTAATTAAACTTGAAATAAAGGGACAAATGGATGCACATCCATTTGAAACCCGAGTAAACGAGCGCAAGGTGTATACCTTTTTCAAACAGTTACTCATATTCCACAAAGATAATTTTCATAAACATGGACGATAAAGGACAATTGGATGCACGTTCTTTTGAAAATTTGAGTAAACGAGCGCATGATGTACACGTTGTTCAAACTGTTACTCGACTTCGTATAAAATCATTTTCAACTTATCAAATTCTTCTTATCGCCCTAACGCGACTCCGAAAAACGTTTCATAAAAGAATAATGTTTTATCCATTCCGAGGCGAAACAAACAAACACTTTGTCCTACCATGCGCGAGCAATAAGCAATGTTTAACCGCTCGAATGCAGTTAAACAAAGATCAATTTCTACGCAAAACGAACAAACACTTTATCCTCCCATGCATGAGCAATAAGCAATGTTTAACTGCTCGAATGCAACCTAAACATCGTTCAATAAAATCAAACAAAAAACTCGTGGTTTTCTTCCATGAACTACAAAGATTTGATTTACTCATTGCACTTGGGAATACGTAGGCACATGATTTTGAAATCTTGGCGAGCACGATAATAAAAACCTAAACAATCATTTTCTTTCTTTTTATAGCATGAGAATTAGAAGATTTCAAACTAACATCACACTAACACTCATTCGCAAAACTACCTAAATGGGTCCTATTGAGTACAACGGGTGTGAGGAATGTTAATACGTTCCCCTTACATAACTGACTCCCAAACCTGATTTAGTTGCGACGACCATTTATTTTCTTTCATGGGTTTTATTGATATTTTCCATTTCCTTTGGAATTAATAAAGTTTAGTGTCGGCTTTGTTATGTTTCAAGCATGTGATACACTTGGGAATTTTATGCGCCGCGACAGTAAGAAAGTGTGAAACTTCATGTATGAAATGCTCTCTAATCCCAATACCATACAATTTTCTTTTTGACATATTAATCCTGACCTGGAGCCATCTTCAGCATCTTTAATATTTTTTTGGTTGTCCATAAGTTGGTCTAATTTCTTTCTCCTACAAGGATAGTATCATCTACTAAATTGTAGGACACTATAGGATACCT